AGGAGATTTTTTTAATAACCGGGAATGGAGGGCTCTCCTCTTAGAGCTTTGCCCAGTGCAGAGGAGCTTTCCAACACAAACAACAGGCTGCCCCTAATGACTGACTGTTGTTTTAAATGGATCACCTAATCTACAGCACAAAGGCCATGAAGGCGAAATGAGAGTCAGAGCTGATGTGTAATTAGTACAGATAGTTGGGTCTACCCCCTGGGCATAGTTAAACTGATTACAAATAGAAACAGACTTTTTGCCGTAGCTTGGGGAAAAAAAAAATCTCCTCGCTGGCTCAAAAGGTTCTCACAGAAGAATCCCTCCAAGATAGAAGCAATTTATGTCCCTTTCAAAATACACACATAACAGTAACATGATGATAATGTAGTCTGGAAATCATTAAAAAATATGAGTGATTTCAAATAAAATCATTTGTGGTGTTATATATCTAGTTAATAGCAAAAAACGACTTATTTAATTTGGTATAGATTTAGCTTCTTTTTAGTTTTTTTTCCCTGTATGTGCTACTCACAGATCCCCAGCTTCTGTTCCCACAGGCTTTTTGCTTCTTCAGGACAAGATGTCTGCGTCTATCTGGCTTAGGGCTGTGCTTCACACTGATAAAACCAGGTCAGATTGTGCAGCGTCCTTTCTTAGAAACCCTCAGGCCGTCTCCCCTGTTGCCTTCACAACGCTTTTAACATTCCTAGCCCGCATATTTTGGCCCCAATTTGTCCTTCTTGCCTTACAGTTCTCCACTGCTACATCCCCTTATACCATAGCAGCCCCTTGCTCCTATTGAAAATCCACTGCCTCAGTTCTTGGTCATTTTTCTTAAAGTGACCCATCTAGAAAAACCACTTCAGTGAGCCCTACTGGAGTCGTCATCGTGCTTCTTGATGTAGAAAGCCAAACTGGCTTAAGTAATCATCCCAGATACTTGTGTTTGAGGCTTTTATCTGTCCCCTTGGTAATTTGCCAATGCCTTTGTATGAGCCCTGTTTCCAGAGTGATGTCTACTAGGTTTGTCTACTTAGATGTCTTGGTTTGGGCTTCCTTGAAGGAGTAGCTAAATCTTTTCTCAGACTTCTGCTTACTCCTTGGGACATCACGCATAGCCTAGCCTTGTTGGCTGGATGAAACTGGATTCTATTTTCTCCATCTAGAAATGTCCCTATTTATCTTTAACCAAAATCCTATTTTCCCTGTCTCCCACAATACTCTCTCATTGTTCTTGGCTCCCTCCTTAGCGCTAATCCTCATTGTGTTGGCCCTGGCCTAGAGTGTGGCTTTGCTAGGCTTCTGGACAGTAACTCAACAGGCAGGGGACTGAGGGACTGAGTGATAGACTTCTGAATGGAGAGCCTCAGGCAGTCGCTAGCCATAACTTAGATAAGAAGATTCTGAGAGGCCATTTGGTGGCCTAGATTTGTGCCTGGGATCTAATCGCCTTAACTGTCATTAATCATTTCTTGGGAAACAAAACTGATAATCTCCATGTCAGATCCCCAAATCAAGAAATCTGCACTATGCTACAAAGCGTACCAAGGTTTCTTAATCAAGTATGTGTGAACTTGAGGTAGAAACAATGTTTTTTTTCCCATGCTTTAGAAGTTCCCTTTTATAATATACATTCAGTAATTGAGGTTTGGGTTTTTGTAATGGGAATCTAGTACTACTCAGCCCTGTAGCGTGTCCGTTATGCAGAATTGTTCAAGAAGCAGTATGATGCGTCTGGAGAGATGGCTCAGCAGTTAAGAGAGCACTGACTGCTCTTCTGGAGGAGTGGGGTTCAGTTCCCAGCCCCCACATGACATCTAACAACTGTCAGAAACTCCAAGATCTGACACCCTCACACCATGCATGCATGCAGGCAAAACACCAATGCACATAAAATGAAAATAGATAAATTATTTTTTAAAACCGGGAGGCAGAGGCAGGTGAATTCTCTGTGAGTCTGAGGCCAACCTGGTCTACAAAGCAAGTTGTAGGACAGCCAAGGCTATTACAAAAAGAAGTCCTCCCCCCCAGCTCTCTCCCTCTCTCCCTGCCTCTCTCTCTCCCTCTCCATCACACACACACACACACACACACACACACACACACACACACAAAACCTTTTAAAGAAGCAGCACTATGGCTTCATAAGAGGTTCCTAGTCAGAGCCTGGATTCAGATACTAAAGCTATTGGTTACCAACTGAGGAAATATAGGCCAAAAGCACTACTCTGAACTTGAGTTTCCTCGCTTGTAAAATGGGAGTTTCAATACCTACTTTATAAGGTTGTGGGGAAAGTTAAAGTCAATGAGATAGTATGTGTAAATAATATAGCACATTGTTTGGTAAGCATGGGCATTCGGTAATTTAAATAGAGGTCATTGTTACCATTTCCAAGTATAAGATCCAAGGAAAATGATTAGCAGGCTGAGAACATGCTTGCTGCCTAAGATTGAGTTCCATCCTCAGAACCCAAATGAACAAAAGAAGCTACTCCTGAGAGTTGCTTGCTGACTTCCCCCTATGCGTCTCCACTCACACACGTCACACGCACTAACTAAAAAATAAGTGTAAAGTAAAACTTGCATGAAAGGGACTCAAAACTACTGGATTGGGCCGAAGTGCCGCACCTGCTGTAGCGGCTCCAACCATCAAGACTGTTTAGTGTTAGCGGATTATTTGAAGAGCTAAACTAATAGAGGAGGAGCAAAGTGGGAACATTAATAGATATTGTTTCATCTTAATGTTGGGCAAGAGCATCATCCAGAGAAGAATGTGAAAGCAATGCTAAGAGCCCTCTCATTCGGGTCAACCCTAAAAATACCCCTCTCGCTTAAGTGGAGAAACTGCCTTGGGACTCCAGGCTTGGCTTTCAAGAGATCAGTCATATGCGCTCTCTGCTTCAGTGAAAGGCGATCATGACCTAAGCCTGTGCTAGCCTTGCCAAGTGACAGCTGACTCCAGCCACCTTGTGCACCCACATGGTTCACCTTTCAGAAAAAGAGGTCTGGTCTTCAAGTAGGGTGTTGCTCTTTGACCTCCCCCCCCCTTTATTTTCTCTGTATGGATGTACTGAGGGGGATCTGGATGACAGCCTGCTAAATCACTTTCCCTGAGTGACAGAGTTCCCCCCAAAAAACAAGATTGGAATTACCATCAGCACTCAGGCAAAAGAAACTTGTTTCAGTTTTCCAGGAGTTGGGTAGAATCAAATTTATACATATTTAAAGCTAGGTCATCATCTTCTTCAGATGCAATGGAAGAGAACTATAATAAATTACAAGATCAAAACTACTTTGTTTTGGTTAATATAAGCAGATGGTTCGATATAGTACATATCATTCAAATTAATAGGAAAAATATCAATAGCTATCACACTAAAAGACAGCAAATATAAACTATTATTACCCATCGAGAAATATAATTAGTAAGCCAAAGCACAGAAAAACTTGATCTACACTGATGAGCAAATATATGCAAATTAAAGAAACCTTGAGGTAAAATGTCTTGTTTCTTCAGATTAGACACATCAAAACTGGCTCTCCCATCATACCTGGTATACATTGCAATAGCCTTTTCGGAAAGTGGGGTCACAGCCTGTGAAATCAGAGCCACTGGCTTTGATCTCCTTGATTTTGCTTCCTGTACTAACCCATGCCTGCCCCAGAGCTACCCTGGTCTTGGACCCAGTTCTGCGTATATTTGGGACGAGTTGAGTCCACACACTTGCTTCCTGGGACTTACTGAGGTTTTTCATGGCCTGTAATCGGAGCTCTTCCTTCCTCTCCTTGCCTTCATTCAGTAGAATCCCAGCCATTTCCTCTGAGCCTGTTGGTATGCCTCTCAGTGCCCCAAAGGGATCTTTGTGGCCCCTGGCTATGGGACAGTTGGCTGGTGGGTGAGTCGCTCCCATCACCTTCAGAAAATACTGAAATAGAAATATTAGCCACAGAGTCAAGGAAAACGAGGGAGTGGACTGGATCTGAAGACGCTAACGTGCAAGAAACCTTGGGCTGGTGATCTTGAACTTCACATAGAAACCTCTGTCTGTTTAGCTTTGCCTCATAGAGGACATTTAGGCCAAATGAAAGACATCCTGTTTCTTTCCAGAATCATGTACCTGTCTTATACATAACAGGCAAAAAATGGGAAACTCGTCTCCATTAGCATCTCCTAAACCTTAATTCACTTGGCAACAAATTATATCTGATGTTTTCAGGCACGTCCAGCCAGAAGCCTCATACACCTGAAGATCAATGCAGCCCGACACAAAATCATAAATTTATATTAAAGCATTCGGAGAGTTTGGGGTGGCTTTTTTTTGGAAGGGGGTAACTTGATTGAGGGTCTCAAGTGTGAACTTTGTAGGTGACAGTATTGTGTCACAGCATCCAAAGGTTGGATGGACATGCTTGCTCAATGCATGTGACTTTTCGGTGAGGTTTTATTGCTTTTATGGGAGAGGAAACTATAAAAGAGGAAATATTAGGGAAAATAAAACAACTTTCAACAGCAATTTACCCTGTCCTTCAACACTAACTCACCAAATTTCCTGGGCTAAGAGCATCAGTAGGCTATATGGAGCTAAGGGAAAGAACATTACATCCCCAGCCTCTCCCCACTCCCTTCGCTAACACACAAGGACAGAGATGTTCACCCACACAGCACATGTTGATGTAAGTTCTGATGAAAATGACCTTCAATTCAACAGTACAGATCAGCCTGGGGGATGTTGCAAAGGGCCAGCGAACACCCTGCTGTGTTGGTGGAGCCAAAGCCAAGGGGGAAGGGCTGACTGTCTCATGCCCCTCTGCAGCACTCTCTGCAGATGTCCTTCTGGCATCTCCTTGCAGGCCACACCCTCCAAACAGCACCTTCTCCTTCCTGCCTCTGGAAGCTCTCCCTTCCCAAACCAAAGAAAAATCCTGGCGGGGAGGAGGGTGGCTGGGAATGATGTAGACCTGGTGGCGTTTGTAATCCTGCAATTCAAATTCTCCTTGTCTTTTGACAGAGCTGGCGTATGATCTGGATGTGGACGATACTCCAGGGAACAAGGACCATGTAGATCAGAAGGACAACGAGATTATCACCTCTCACAGCGTGGGGAATATGCTGTCCCCACTGAAAATTCTGATCAGTGTGGCCGTTTACGCGGCATCGTTTTTTTTCCTGGTGCACTGACTTGCCAGTTGCCCAGTGCCTGTGCTGCCCTGCAGCAGCACCCTGTGGTCCTCCTATATAAAGGGAGCCACCTTCTTTTTTTTTCTTTTTTTTTGTCTTCTGTGCCTCCTCCCGCCATTAAGTAGGAGATTGACCATGTGTTATGTTTTCGAAAATCAAATGGCATCTTTATGAGGAAGGTAAATTTTAGTGGTAGGATAGATTGTCTCTTTGAAAAGAAAAAAAAACCTTCAAGTTGTGCCAAATTATTTTCTTACATTTGACTGCTAGAACATGGTTGTCATGTTTCCCTCTTCTCTCTTTCTCTGCATGGATTTCTTTGAAAAAAAAAATAAACGTTCAAATAAAATGGCATTGGGTCCTTTTTATAAAAGAGTCATACGCTTCTCCTCCCTTCACCCAAACTTTTTCTGTCATCTTGCTTTCTAGTCAGTGTAATCTCACTAGAATCCAAAAGGTCCTTAGACCGTCTGGGCGAGCACCAAGGCTAACCTCAAGCATTAAATCACCCATTCTCAGCGGGCATCAATCGCATGCTCAGTCTCCACTGAGAAGCCTTCGGCTGGGTTGTCCTATCTGTGAGACAAAAGGTGGCTCAAAAGAGGTCCACTGTGGCCTCTCTTTGCTGATTTCCCTTCTGGACTGAAGAGACACCTCTGTTGGTAGTGCGCTTGCATTAAAAGCATGAGGAATTGAGTTCAATCCCCAGAACTCACGTGCAGAGAGCAAGATGTGGTGCCGTGTGCTTGCGATCTCGGCTCTGTGGGAGCAGAGACAGGCAGAACCCTGGGCCTGCTAGGCAGTCACCCTAAACTGCTCAATGAGCTCCAGGCTAGTGAGAAATGCAGTCTCAAAAGGAAAGGTATAAAATACTGAGGAGCCTAAAGCTCCCCTCTGGCCTTCACATGCATCAGCGCACGCGCACACACACCAGCATGCATATACATGTACACACACAAATTTCAAATAGAAAAGCTTCTGCATAGGCTACATATGAACACTAAAACCAATATCCCCCTTCTCTAAGCTTGAGAGGTGAACCCAAGTAGTGCAAACAAAGAATTCCCTCAGCTCTCTCCTGTCGTCTTAGGCCATGTCTCTCTTCAAGGACTGCAGCGTGGCAGGGTAACAGATGTCCTGGGTCACATTGTAAAAGCTGTCATCAGCAAGCCTCTGATTTACTAGCAGCTTTTCGAACCCTCCACCTCAGGTGGCTTCTCCAACGGACACTTCAACCTTGATTTTGTGAAGCTATTGAGTGACTGGTAAGGCAGCAGATTCTAGAGAGTGCCATAGCCCTTGATCCCTACCTTTGCCCTCACACTGATTCTAACACTGACCTTCTGGGAGTCACAGGCCCGGGATTTTGACTTCATTCCATTCCGTGCACATCCAGCATCTCAAACACTTGTGTCGGTTGCCATTTTACTTAGATTGTCTTCCTGCTGTGGAGGAGCTCCAGGAATAAGCGATTTGCCATTTTCCTCATGTATGCAATGCTCTGTAGACCTGGCCTTCCCACCAGGTAATGTCAATACAGAGAGCCACGGTGAGGTGCAGGGAGAAGATGGTCAACCCTCTTTGAAGCCAGGGAATGGTCCCCTACAGAAGCTCCAGCTTCAGTCCAATAGTAGGAAATCGCCACAGGGGAAGTAGAAGGTACAGTTTATCACAGCTTAGCATTCCTTGTACCTCCCCCACCCCTGCTGTCACTAATACTCTTTTGTTGGCCTCCTGAGGACCATAACTTTCCAATATTCCACTGGGTTTTTTTGGGGGGGCAGAAATGCCTACAAATACAAAGTGGAAATTTAGGACTTATCAAGTTTAGTTTTTTTGTTCTGTTGTTGGTTTTAGTTTTATTTCCTAACATAACTTACATGATTCATAGTGGTTGGTGAGACACAAAAAGCAAAAACACTATCTTTGTTTTGAAGATAGAAGATGAGGCTATTCTTGTTTCTAAATTTGAATGAGGTTTGTAAAGACCCTTTGGTCTTGGATTTATGAAAACCAAATCCTGAGAAGGTCCATTCCTTACACTTCGAGCCTGATTTGCTAGCAATGCCAGACCAGAAGAAGGCCTTAACCCCAGTTACCATCTACAAATTTCCTGTCATTCCACAGAAAGGGCTCCACTTAATGTGGCTAATGATAATAATAGTAATAATAAGTGACTGCGAAACCACATTTTGCTCCCACAAGAATGTGGTTTTAAATTCTCCACTCTGAGAGTTAGGCAAAGGAAATTGTCTATTTCAGCAACATGACCAATAAAGAGATCAATCAGGCCTTGAAACTATGAACGCAATGAGTCTTTTTATTCATAAGTCTTATCTGAGGTAATTTGCTATACTAATGGAAAGCTGAGTGAAACGCCCATGGGTGTCCACTGTTAATTGGGAACGGGGCATATGCTTGAGATTAACTCAGCTCCTTGCACATGCTGGGCAAATGTTCTACCACCTAGCACAAACCTCAGCTCCGAGTGTTAAGCATTTGATTTTTCAGTCAGTCACTCTCCCCTTTCTCTCTATAGATGTACATTCACACATTTGAGATTCTATTAACATGCGACTCTAGAATGTGACCCAATCCTTATTAGGTAGATCTACATCTCCCTTCGTATTATGTCAGCCCATTAATCTGACCCTTCTATAAAGATCATGTGATTCGAGGTAATATGGCTTTTCACAATTGTCCTACAACAATAACTGTGCCTCTTCTCAGCTCTTTGCTTTTCCACCCTTGTCTTGTAAACCCCATAAACATCTTCCTTTTCCATGCTGAAATGGCTCAGTAGTTCTGGAGAACTGTTCAGCTATTGGCTGAACCAGTGGTATAGGTATAGCCTAAGCAAGTAGAAGAGAAGCCATTATGTTTCTACAGAGGTCCAGGATGCAGAGGCTTGCTTAGCAGCTGTATACTTTGACTTTAAGGCAGGATTTCTTTTAGGCTAGCCTAAAACACAACATGTAATACAGGATGACCTTAAACTTCTACTTCTCCTGCTACCCTGACTCCCAGAGTTCTGGGATTAGAGACATGTGCCATTATACCTGTTTCATGTAATGCTGGACCTCATACATACCAGGCACTCTACCGAGTGAGCTATACCCTGGTCCCTCATACCACACTGGACAAATGATCATGTGGCCAGCTTAACTACCAAGATAGCTTGTAAGTCTCTTATATCTCATACTTGTATGATTTGTGTTTATTTTGATGGTTTGTTTGCTTGTTCATTTGCTTACTTGTTTCTTTTTTGAGAGAGAGAGAGAATTTGTCTCCCTATGTAACTTTGGTGAGCCTATGTAGAAAAGGCTAGACTAGAACTATAACAGGGCTTTCTTTGGAATGCCAGCTCCCAAATAACAACTCAGAGACTTTTTATTAATTATGAAAGCTTAGCCTAGCTTAGGCTTGTTCCCAACTAGATTTTAAAACTTAAATTAACCTGTTTATATTAATCTTCATTATGCCACATGGCTCATTACTTCTCATTACTGTACGTCTGACTTCCTCGGCATCCAGCTAGTGAATCTCCTGCCTCAGATTCTTTCTCAGAATCCCCATCTTTGCCGGGAAGTCAAGTGTATCCTCTCCTGCCTAGCTATTGGCCATTCAGCTCTTTATTAAACCAATCAGAAGGTGCTTAGGTAGGTGAGGTAAAACAGAGACATATCTTCACACAGTGAACAAAAAGTTTATCTCAACATAGAACTCACAGAGATCCATCTGCCTCTGCCTCTGCCTCCCCACTGCTGAAATGTGGTGCATGCCATCATACTAGACCCACCAAAGTCTAAATATTTTATTTTGCCTACATGATATACCAGATAGTATTCTCCCTCCCTCCCCACCTCGTGTGTGTGTGTGTGTGTGTGTGTGTGTGTGTGTGTGTGTGTTTGTGCACATGCGCGCACACTGAATTTAGTGGTGGTGATGGTACTTAGTAATAGAGAAATTCTTTTTCTTGCCAAGGCCTCAACATGTTTGGAATTCTTCTTTTGGAAGCACTGCCGAGCTGCGTTATGTGCCATACAAGCAATCAGTCTTGTTTCTTGAAGCTCACACCTTGCTTGGAGCCAATAGTGATATTCTTCAGCTTGATCGCACACCTCATTCACTAGCTTTGCTGCCAAGTTGCTCTTAGCTGGTTCCAAAAATCAAATCTGCCTTCAAGAAACAACCCCACCCCACCCCCCAGAAGATTCAAAGAATGTGGTGTGGGTTAGGAAGGTTGGTTGTTTTTTCTCCCCAAAGAAAAGTTCCAAGAAAAAAATTGAAAATACCTTCCCTGACACAGTCATTGTCGCCCAAGGGGGCTTCTTGAAAAGAAATGGCACTGTTTAGGATGTAGTTAATCTGCTCAGTTTGCCAAAGGGCCAACAAAATACCCGTACTGCTTTTCATGTGTTTATAGCAACTTGGAAAGATAGACAGTGAAAATAGAGCAGAGGTCACCAGTGGCTCAGTGGGTAAAGGGCCTGCCACCACGCCTGACAGCCTGAACTCAAGCCCCAGGACCCGCATGGTAGAAGGAGAAAATCTAGACCTGACAGTCAACCGGGGATCTCTACGTGTACACTGACTATGGCATGCATGCCCTGCATACAAGAAATAAATAAATTTCAATTTTTAATAGAGCAAAGGGCTGGCATGAAGTTGCTGCCTAATACGTGGAGTTTTTTTGGTGTTTTTTGTTTGTTTCTATTTTTTGTTGCTGAGTTTTTATTTTTAGTTTATTTTTGTTTTTTTGGTTTTTCGAGACAGGGTTTCTCTGTAGCTTTTGAGCCTGTCCTGGAACTAGCTCTTGTAAACCAGGCTGGCCTCAAACTCACAGAGATCCACTTGCCTCTGCCTCCTGAGTGCTGGGATTAAGGGCACACGCCACTACTGCCCGGCCCCCTAGTAAGTGTTTGTATTTATGATACACATACTTTGAGTAATGCTTTGTGCATATGCCATGTGACATACTAAAAACACTCTATGACAGT